TGATTGATGGGACTCTCTGATTGATTGCGGAGTGAGTCTTGCTCTTCCGGTGGTCGGTTTTCGTTGATCCCTCCTGCATTGTGTGGTTCGCTCCAGCTCAGATCCGATTCTCTAGGTTTGTATCCTTTGGTTTAGCCCCTCTTCTTCTCGATTTGATTCTTTCGTCTATAAGTTGCTCGGCGGTGACGAGTAGTTGGTTGGCAATTTGACAAACACGGCGCCGCCGCTCGCCGCCGTCGCCATGGGCTCATACAACGGAAGGGCTCATTCGGCCTCCGCCCGCCAGCCCCTTGCTCTGTTCGTCTTCAACCTTCCCCTCCCTCTTCTTCAATCTCGTCCCCACCCGCCCAGCCCCCGCCGGCCAGCGTCCACCCCTAACCTGGATCAGAGGAAGAGGAGGCGTGTGTGCGCAGCGGAGGAGACGAGGCGCACGCTGGCCGGAGCTGAGGAAGACTAGCATGTCACAAATCCATACGGCGTATGGGGAGGAGAGGACTGGTGTATTGGCTAGGCCTCTCCGAGTTCAGTCATCTCTATCTCTTTTTATATATATTTTATTTATTTATATATGGTGCTTGCAGGAAAAGACCAGAGTATCAGGTGGAACAACAGAATTCTTGGTACTGCCAGGCTGCTCAACAAGAGGAGAGCTCCTGTTTGACTTAGGGGTTGCGAATTATGACCCTCTATGAACCACACCCTGGAACAGATTTCGTTCGAAAGGGAGCAGCATAATCTGAGAAGACCGGTTAGGGGGGCTGTGAGAAGGGATGGCGATGGAGTTGGCCAAGCAATTGCTCATGGTTCTCGGAAGCTATACACCACCTCTCTGGGCTACAATCATCGCTGGTGTTTTTGTTATCATATCCTTCTCGCTGTCCTTGTACTTGCTGTTCAACCATCTGTCAGCCTACAAAAACCCAGAGGTTGTGAATTGTTATCAGTGTCGCTTGCTATTTAAAATTTTAAATCAATGTGGTAAATTGTTTGAACTGTGTCTCACTTGGTCTTTTCACTCATTCGTGCCACATCTGTGTTCTTTCAGGAACAGAAGTTTCTTGTCGGCGTCATTCTCATGGTGCCGTGCTATGCAGTCGAGTCGGTAAGGTGCTATGCTGCTGCTTTGTCATTCATCCCAGATTAACACCTGTATTTACAGTCCAAGTATAGGATGAGATCTAGCTGTTCAATTGTTGCATCGCTATACCGTTTAACATTTTATGAGAACTCTTGCAGTACTTTTCATTGGTATATCCATCATTAAGTGTGGATATTGAAATTATGCGAGATGGATATGAGGCATTTGCTATGTACTGTTTTGGGCGCTATCTAGTTGCTTGCTTAGGTACTCCTCTCTCAATTATTACTTCACATTCCAATGTTATTATCCATATCTTGGCCTTACCATTGCACTCGTACTTATGCCAGGTGGTGAAGATAGGACAATTCAGTTTTTGAATAGGGAAGGTGGTTCAGGTTCTGTTGCACCACTTTTAGGCCAAGCATCTGAACAACAATACGTAAACCATCCTTTTCCAATGAACTACATACTGAAACCGTGGCCGCTAGGTGAATGGTTCTACTTGGTCATCAAATTTGGGCTAGTTCAATATGTATGTGCCTCTTTATCTTTCATCACAATGGCTTTGCAGGGTGTTGTGAAATTCAAACTCACTCATTTCCCTGTCCTTGGACAGATGATAATAAAATCAATATGTGCTATTCTTGCGGTGATTCTTGAAGCCTTTGGAGTGTACTGTGAAGGAGAGTTTAAGTTGAACTGTGGGTAAGAGATATATAAGTTGACTTCATTTACTCAACAATCCTTGCACGAACTTGTCTTATCTGTGTTACAGTGTTCCCATCCTACTATCTTTTTTTGGAAGTTATTAAAAATGCAAATGCATCTATGCTCATTTTCCTTTGAACTGTGGGCAGGCATGTATATGTTATATGTTATATATCACTTAGTGTATCATTAGATTTAGCTGTCCTGCACCTGTAGTCAACTTGCTGTTTTCTTGAACATATGTCAGATTATGTGCTCTGTTTCTGGTGTTCCGTGTCGTGGTAGTTGACTCTCACAAGCTGCATGAATGTATTTGATAACACTCAGTCACAACTAACGTTTGCATCTAATTTATGGTGTATCGTACTTTCTTTAGATGCCTCATCCTATATTAGGATACTATACATAGCTCATCCTATATCGTACTTTCTTTAGATGCCTCATCCTATATTAGGATACTATACATAGCTCAGAAATTGTTTGTTAAGTTGCACACTTTTTGAAAACATAATCTGTTTGCTGTTCTTTTTCCCTCTCTTGTCTGTTTGCCTATTATATGTTGTTGCACATGGTCAACTTGCTCATGCATTTGATGACATAGGAATTAAACAATCATTGTCTTGCCATTACTGAACTATTTACTTGTCTACCAGGTACTCTTACACGGCTGTGGTTCTCAATTTCAGTCAGTCATGGGCCTTATACTGTCTCGTTCAGTTCTATGCTGTGATAAAGGATGAGTTAGCTCATATAAAGCCTCTTGCAAAGTTTCTGACATTCAAGTCTATTGTATTCTTAACATGGTGGCAAGGTATAGCAATCGCACTGCTCTTCAATTGGGGTTTGTTGAGAGGTCCTATTGCTCAAGAATTTCAGTTCAAGTCAAGTATCCAAGACTTTATTATCTGCATAGAGGTGGTTAACTCCTATTATACCTTTTCAATACATTATTTAGCATTTGTTCATATGGGAACCTTTGCTGTTAGTAGTTTGAAGAGGGCATGTTCTATAGGTCAATATTTATGCATGTTTGCATTGTTCATGTTCATTTGAAGTAAACCCTAACAGTCTTCTGTGCTATGCAGATGGGTGTTGCTGCCGTTGTCCACCTGTATGTCTTCCCTGCGAAACCATACGAGCTAATTGGTGATCGTTTTGTTGGAGATGTTTCAGTTCTTGGAGACTATGCTTCTGTCGACTGCCCTCTAGATCCAGATGAAGTCAAGGATAGTGAGCGCCCAACCAAGTTTAGGCTTCCCCAGCCAGATGATCGTGTCAGGTGTTCCACTGCCATAAAAGAAAGTGTTCGTGATGTCGTACTTGGAGGTGGTGAATACGTAAGGGGACGAATGCTCATTTACCTTCATCTGTTTTACTTGAATTACTATTTTTTTCCTATGTCAGACAAAGTGAAATCTCATCTGACCAATCTCGCAGATTGTGAATGACTTGAAGTTTACTGTGAACCATGCTGTGGAACCAATCAATGAAAAGCTGCACATGATATCAGAGAACATCAAAAAGCGCGAGAAGGGAAAGAAGAAAACAAATGACGATAGCTGCATCAGTTCACCCACATCCTTGACCAGGGTCATCAGTGGGATTGATGATCCGCTCCTGAATGGGAGCCTGAGTGACAACAGTGGCCCAAAGAAAGCACGAAGGCAACGCAGGAAATCAGGCTATGCAAGCGCAGAGAGTGGTGGAGAGAGCAGCGACCATGGCCTAGGTGGGTTTGAGATCCGAGGGAACAGATGGATTACTAGGGAGTGACAACTAAGAGCAACCTGTAGGGATACTATATAAATGTCACAGGAGTCGGCGTGTGGTGATATATGAGAACCGAACCAGTGGGTTCAAGTGTAAGATGAGGTCTCTGGCATGATGTTGTAGCACGGCCAAATCGAGATGAACAATCAGTTTGTTGTCTGTTGATTCTTTCAGCTGACAATTTCAGCTGCTGAGGCCTTGATCCTGTATTTAAGATGTCAGGCCTACTTAGAGCAAGTGTTGGAAGGAAGCAATGTGCCTGTTCTGAGTTCCCACTTCATCCTTGTAAAGTACTTAAGTACAGACTAGAACTAGTCATACAAAAGAATAGATAGATGTTTCTAAAGCTGAGGCATGAGATGATGTGCCACTCTATTTGCTTTGTTTTCATGCTTTGACGCTATATATCATCATTTTCACTGTTCATTCTGAGGTCAGGGGCTCAAGGCCGAGAGAGCAGGCCGTTGTCATACTATGCTCGTGTGACGTTTAGCTTTATATTTATGGTGTGGTAACACAAGTAGCAGAAAAGCAGAACACCTTTTTCTTTTCCTTTTGCTACTATGGATGGACTTTGAGTTCCTTGAGACGATCAGATTGCAAGAGCAAACACTCTATCATCTAACTTTCCTATTCCTTGTGTATCCTGATCACTGAAGATGATCATTTGGTTTTCACTTCTTCAGTTATATATAAAGTGAAGATGGTTGTCTCTCACGCAACATACGAAGTGCAAGATGAACTCTGCACTGCAAGGAACCCCAAGAAAAACCACGGCCAAAGTTTGTCTGATTAACAACACATCCAGAGCTCATCTGACGCAGATGACACCGCATATTCACCACTTTAATTTGTTAGAAAAGCTACACAAAAAGCACATCACAAAAGAAGAAAAAACTACTTATGCGCTACTACTAGTTGCAATAATGATGATGATCTATCTGCACAAGCCAAAAAAATACATCTTGAACCAAATTAGAACGCAATTTAATTACATTTAATTAATATGTTTGCATTTTCCCTTATATAAGAACAACTTAAAAAGCCTCTTTTCCAGTCCTTTTTTAACATTAATAACATAAAATAAAAAAAAGGCAAAGCGGGAGGGGACCAGTGCAGGCCCAAAGGCCAATCGGCCCAGAACTAACTCCTCCGGCTGTTCGTGTCCGCCCACGTGGCACGCCCGGCCATTCCGGGCCCACAGATCCGGCGCAGGGTCATGTGCCACTGCCATGGCATCCTCCTTGTCGCCGCGGCAGATTGCGACGGAGAAGAAAGGTGAGGAGAGAAACGACCAAGCAAAAAAATCACGCCTTCATTGCGAGGGAGAGGATAGGGAGGAAGACGCCAAGCCAGCTCCAGTTCGGCACCCGCTATAAAGCGCCAGGGACTTGGATTGCTGACGAGATGGGACTCACTCGCCGACACCGCCGCCGCCGCAATGCTGTGCCTCGTGTCGCCGTCTTCTTCGCCGACTCCGCTCCCGCCGCCGCGGCGCTCTCGCTCGCCTGCTGATCGGGCGGCGCCGCCAGGGATCGCGGTGAGCTGCGGCGATCCGGGGGGACTGATGGATTTACTTCTTTTTGCTTTTTGTATGTACTGATGGTTGATGGTTTCACAGGGTGGCGGCAATGTGCGCCTGAGTGTGCTGTCTGTCCAGTGCGAGGCCCGCCGGTCAGGGGCGCGGAAGGTAGATCTTTTCCCCAGATTGAAACATGTTTTACGGACAAAATGGAATTTGGTGGTAGCTTTGGAGAGAAAAACTGGAATTTGTGGATTGGGTCTCCCTTGGGATTTGGGTGAGGCTAGGCTCTAGTGCTTTGTTACCCGTAATCGTCAATTTTATTTTATCAAGTCAGGTGGATCTCAGATTTTAATTAAAGTTGTTTATAAATTTTGCTGGTTGCTTTTCTTCTGCCATTCTAATCGTTTACTCTTAATAAAGTGGTATACTCTATGGTTGCTGCAGCAGCTAAGTAGTCTTACTACATTGTCAAATGTTAGCTTCTATTGCTCGTGCAATTCTGAATCTGGCTTTAACTCACTTTGCAAGGTCAAGAGCAAATTCGCCGCTGCAGCTACTGTACAAGAAGATAAAACTATGGCAACCGCCAAGGGCAATGTCGACCATCTTCCTATATACGACTTGGACCCCAAGCTGGAGAAATTCAAGGACCATTTCAGCTACCGGATGAAAAGATACCTGGACCAGAAAGGCTCCATTGAGGAAAATGAGGGAAGTCTTGAAGAATTTTCTAAAGGTTAGGCTTATAATACATTCAAATGCTAATATTTATGGCACCTGCCTATGCCGCAAAATACCGCCTTATCTGAATCATCAATCTTTCTGGATTTTATATTTTTTCCAGGCTATTTGAAATTTGGGATCAATACAAGTGAGGATGGAACTGTATATCGCGAATGGGCACCTGCTGCACAGTAAGTTCTAATGTTGTCATGCAAATATGATATACTGACGAAGTATGGTTATCATTTTCTTTTTCCATTTTGCTTGTGAAGAGATGCTGTCTGATAGCAACTAGATCAAAAAAAAAAAAAAAACAAAGGTGCTACAGCATAGGGGAGTAATCAATGTTTGGGAATACATAACTGTTTGGAGATTTCACTCCTGTGCGAGATTGTCATGTCTTGGGCTCTTGGCTGAGGAGGCTAAAAACCTTTTTTTGCTCTCTTGTTGTGATTACTTGATGCTGTTTTCTTTTGTATGACAAAACGTAGTTTCCACTAATTTAGTAGATTGATGCATTTGAGTTTTTTTACTTATGGATATAGGGAGGCAGAGCTTATTGGTGACTTCAATGAGTGGAATGGTGCAAACCACAAGATGGAGAAGGATAAATTTGGTGTTTGGTCGATCAAAATTGACCATGTCAAAGGGAAACCTGCTATCCCTCATAATTCCAAGGTTAAATTTCGCTTTCTACATGGTGGAGTATGGGTTGATCGTATTCCTGCATGGATTCATTATGCGACTGTTGATGCCTCTAAATTTGGAGCTCCCTACGATGGTGTTCATTGGGATCCTCCTGCTTCTGAAAGGTCTGTTTCTACTGTCCTCAACCACATTGTAAGCTTAAGCAATAGATCTTAGCTTGACAAAAATATATGACAAAATTATAGTACCTTTTACCTCTGTTTTGCAGGTACACATTTAAGCATCCTCGGCCTTCAAAGCCTGCTGCTCCACGTATCTATGAAGCCCATGTGGGTATGAGTGGTGAAAAGCCAGCAGTAAGCACATATAGGGAATTTGCAGACAATGTGTTGCCACGCATACGAGCAAATAACTACAACACAGTTCAGTTGATGGCAGTTATGGAACATTCTTACTATGCTTCTTTTGGGTACCATGTGACAAATTTCTTTGCGGTTAGCAGCAGATCAGGCACACCAGAGGACCTCAAATATCTTGTTGATAAGGCACACAGTTTGGGTTTGCGAGTTCTGATGGATGTTGTTCACAGCCATGCAAGTAATAATGTCACAGATGGTTTAAATGGCTATGATGTTGGACAAAGCACCCAAGAGTCCTATTTTCATACGGGAGATAGAGGTTATCATAAACTCTGGGATAGTCGGCTGTTCAACTATGCTAACTGGGAGGTATTGAGGTTTCTTCTTTCTAACCTGAGATATTGGCTGGATGAATTCATGTTTGATGGCTTCCGATTTGATGGAGTTACATCAATGCTGTATCATCACCATGGTATCAATGTGGGGTTTACTGGAAATTACCAGGAGTATTTCAGTTTGGACACAGATGTGGATGCAGTTGTTTACATGATGCTTGCAAACCATTTAATGCACAAACTCTTGCCAGAAGCAACTGTTGTTGCTGAAGATGTTTCAGGCATGCCAGTCCTTTGCCGGTCAGTTGATGAAGGTGGAGTTGGGTTTGACTATCGCCTGGCAATGGCTATCCCTGATAGATGGATTGACTACCTGAAGAATAAAGATGACTCTGAGTGGTCGATGGGTGAAATAGTGCATACTTTGACTAACAGGAGATATACTGAAAAATGCATTGCATATGCTGAGAGCCATGATCAGGTACCCTGCATTATATTATAAGGAAGTATAGTTGGATGCAGCAAAGTATTTTATTTCCTTTTGGAGTAGAGGTAGACAACTAAACACGTCGGGCAAGGATCTTTTAATCATACAGTATTATATTTCATCACATTTCTATCCTGATTACTTGTAATTGCATTAATCATTCATAAATATTTAGGCCCTCATAAGCATGTCTAATAATTTGCAATCACATATGGCCTGTTTATCTTTACTGGAAATTAATCTCATGCAAATTTTCAGTCTATCGTTGGCGATAAAACTATAGCTTTTCTCCTGATGGACAAGGAAATGTACACTGGCATGTCAGACTTGCAGCCTGCTTCGCCTACAATTGATCGAGGGATTACACTCCAAAAGGTTCCATTTCTCCTCAAGTTCTGGTTGAACGTGTTCCCTCCTCTTAATATAGCTTGCTTATTGTGCTCTATACACTCCAGATGATTCACTTCATCACAATGGCCCTTGGAGGTGATGGCTACTTGAATTTTATGGGGAATGAGGTGAAATCTTGGTCTATTAAAAAATGTTTCCCATTAATAAGCCTTCATAAACCTGTTCTATTTTGTCTATTTGATGTTTCAGCATTTAGGGTTGATCCTCTATTTTCTCAGTAACTCAAGTTCCTAATGGCTATTTGAATAGTTAATGTTAATTCTGAATAGCGCTTGTCTTTGCACATGAAAATGTGGTCTGTTTATTGCTGCTAATCCTTTTGTGGCTTGTCCAATATATTCGTACAACATGGGATACATGTGACCCTTCACTGTTCAAAGCATACTGCTTGAATGTCATACATCTTTTTTGAACAAAGAAATGTCAAACATCTTACAGAGATATTATCAAGTCTTTCACCCGCACAATTCTGAAATGGAAAAAAATGAGTTTTTTTTTTCATATGCTATTTATACTTTTACACATGAGAGTGTGATCTTTGGTGAAGTTAGTTGACAGAATGGGCAGCTGCATATATTCCTTCTTATTTATAGTGTCTTTAATTGACGTGCAATTCTCTTCTAGTTTGGTCACCCAGAATGGATTGACTTTCCAAGAGAAGGGAACAACTGGAGCTATGATAAATGCAGACGTCAGTGGAGCCTTGTGGACACTGATCACTTGCGGTACAAGGTTATGTCTATGAATACAACCCTTATATAGGTTTTTTTCGTTCCAGCATCATTCTAGGCTCTCTTTGACACTTACCTTTTCCTTTTTATCACTCTCTGATACTAGTTAGATGAGAGTTCCATACTGCTGTCACACTTTTGTGTTGAGCTGGATTCAAATATGCTTTTCCGCACTTTGTTTTGCTGCCCCACTACCCCAGTATAGTAAACTGCACCAACCTTGTCAACCTTGTACTTCTTACTCAATAGACCGGTTGGATTGGCCTGTGCAAACCTACTATTTTGTTGACCTGGCTTTATGTATTGCCATTGTTGAATAAAAGTAATTTCAATGCATTGATTGATATGACATTTTCTTAACTTTGCAGACCTAGGAATGCACTTCTCAATGATTGGTTGTTTTGTTAATATATAATTTTTTTTACAGCATATGGTGAACTATGTATCCAAGTGAAAGCCTGTTTTTCTGTTTTTCTATGGTTCAAGTTTACAGTTTATCTCAGCTAACATATTATTGTTTTCTCCTTGCTCTAATGCTGAACAGTACATGAATGCGTTTGATCAAGCAATGAATGCGCTCGATGAGAGATTTTCCTTCCTTTCGTCATCAAAGCATATTGTAAGCGACATGAATGATGAGAAAAAGGTAAGGACTTGAGAATACTTAGTATGAGAGTGTTATGACATTTGTTTCTTTCTTAGGAAGAGTAGTAACTCTAGCTTGTGTGCTGTATTTTGCCAATTAAGGTGAGCTTCAATTTAGGAATGCACGGTTTCTGAAACCCTAGCCATTTCATTCAAATAGTTTGGTTTGTGAAAACATTATTTCCAATTTATTTCTACTTTGTTTCAGGTTATTGTCTTTGAACGTGGAGATTTGGTTTTTGTTTTCAATTTTCATCCCAAGAAAACTTATGAGGGGTAAGTTTTGTAATCTATGTCTTTTCAAAGTCCCTTTTGCCTGTGGTCTAGTGTGCTTACTCTCATCTCTACTTTGCAAATAATATGCAGTTACAAAGTTGGATGCGATTTGCCCGGGAAATACAGAGTAGCCCTGGACTCTGATGCTTTGGTCTTTGGTGGACATGGAAGAGTAAGTAGTGATGATATATGCTGGAAAGATGTTTTTTTTCCTACTACTGTAGTTGGGGCCATGAGAATTGTATCAGGATGTCGTGTTTGCAAGATTCATCGATGTTGTGACACAGGTTGGCCACGATGTGGATCACTTCACGTCGCCTGAAGGGATACCAGGGGTGCCTGAAACAAACTTCAACAACCGGCCAAACTCATTCAAACTCCTTTCTCCACCCCGCACTTGTGTGGTAATGTTCACTTATCAGCTACTTCTCAACTGAACTGATGAACTAGAATCTATCAGTCGCAGTGCAATATCAGCCCCCCCTGACAAATCATTCTGCTACCAGGCTTATTACCGTGTAGATGAAGAGGCTGAACGTCTTCAAGCGAAATCAGAGACAACTGATTCTAGAAAGACTTCTCCAGAGATCATCGATGTTGATGCTACCCCCGCCAAAACTTCTACCGCTACTAAAGAAGACAAGGAGGCAACATCTGGTGGCAAGAAGGACGATTCAAGCAAGAAGGGATGGAAGTTTGCGCGCCAGTCATCATCCAATAAAAATACCAAATGAAGCCAGAAGCCCTTGATCAAGACTGGACTGGCTGCCAGCGCCCTCTTAATAGTCCTGCTCTACTGGACTAGCCGCTGGTGCCCTTGTAACGGTCCTTTCCTGTAGCTCGTAGGTGACTGGTGTCATCACCGAGCAAGCACTGCTTGTATAGTTTTCTAGATAGAGAAGAATAATCAGGGATGGATGGTGTGTATGGACAGAGGAGCCATGGCCTGGGTTCACCTGGATTTTGACAATCTACTGGGTACGTGGCTAAATGTGCCCAGTATGTAAAGGATCAGTTCCTGTCCAGAATAAAAACTTGGGGTTTCTTGTACCTTGTACTTCCTAGGTTGGTGAAGATGTTTAATATTAGATGCCAATGCGCAGATATAGAACATATACTGTCAGTCTGCAGTACTAAAACTGAAGATGAAGTTAGGAAGCTTCTTCATTCCTTGTTCCCTGTCTAGTTCACATTTGATTTCAGCTGTTCAGCAGGTCAGGTCAGCTCAGCTCAGCTCCACCGAGGGTCAGGCCGGCGTCACGCAGGCATCTTTTCATGTGTCATAATACTATATTTTTGATCTTTCAACAAAAAGATGGAGCACTAACGACCTCTTCTTCCAGGTCTTCCAACTCAAGAAGCGTCATGGGCACCACTGGCAGCAGAGCACTGAGACGACTGACCCACCAACAGCAGCTTCTTTTTTTGTTCTCTCTCCAGCACAGAACAAGAAGCATCATCTATCTATCTCTCAAGAGTAAAAGACTTGGACCGCTTCAAAGAAGCCTCAGATCGATCAGATCTTGTGACCTTTGTGTGTGGCTGAATGTCACTGGAAGGAATGCATGCAATGCAACCATGGACTTGACTCCCCGGCAAGAGGCAACATCCATCGACCAGCAACGACTTGTGCATCCATGGAAGAACCGGTCCAAGTGACAGGGACGGATGGATGGGATGACCCCAGCTCCGTTCCACTTCCAGGTCTTGCTTTCTTGATTCATATGGTACAGCTAGCTCACCCTTTGTCTCCAGTCTCCTAGTACCAGACAAGTCGACGCTTGTCACACTCAGAAGCACTAGTAGGTAATACTCTATGATACTGTTTCTGTGTGGCTGATGGTAGTATAGTTCCTTTTAAAGCATACGCGCAAATAAAAAAAAAAGAATACCTGAGATAGATAAATAAAGCTGTTCAGATATGTCTGCAAACTTTACTGGAGATTTTGTTTCCCTGGGGGTCAAATTTGGAGTGATTGCTGAATTCTGTCAATCAAACACTGGAAATATAATCAGTTACACCACTCACCCGTTCTTATTTCCCTGACTGCAAACTAAGGTTGCTTCATAGGAAGGCACAGATTAAACTAAAGGTGCAAATTAAAGACAAAAGGTTATTGCTCTGATTTGGACATGTCTACTAGTGGTGTAATACGTGCGTAGCCCAAGCAGGTGCAGGTCCACAGTTGCATGCTAATGGTAAGGTGCCTGAAAACTGCAACCACTTTAGCCAACCATTAGTCTCTTTTGCGCAGCAGCAGCCGCCGTCGCCGCCTGATAAATTCTCTTAAGTGCAATGATTCCCTGTTAGAAAGTAACTATTTCTTTTGGGGTTTCGTCAAAAGGGAGAATCATTTCAGGACTTGGAACGATTCAATACGCGGTTTTCAATTCTTTTCAGAGGGACGACAAAAGAGAGGTTTGGAGGTTTGCCAAGAGAGCAGCATCACCATGCATTGGTAATGCAGTAGCGTCGTCCTGAGCTTGGGATTTCTTGTGAAAGTCATGGCCACGCCAGACTGATTACCTGTGCATGCAAGGAATTCAACTGTCAGCACGTCAAAACACTCCATCCGTCCGTCTGTCTTGTGCAAACTGATGGTTTTTCTTTGTTTGTATTTTCCCTAGGCTTCCTGGAATTATGTATTTACAAATAAACTGTTTTGTAGGTTTTACCACTTCAATTCAACACGTACGTCTTGTGTCAAAGCAAATAAGGCCATCGATATCGAAAGGACTGTACATGTAAAGCTGTGGCTATGCGGAGTGAGGGGTACCTTCTATAGTACAGGCAACTTTTTGAAGCAATACTATTACCATACTTGTTACGTAACAACGATAACAACATAGTCTTTAAGTCCCTAACAAGTTAGGGTAGACTAGAGTTGAAACCCATTAGAAGCAATTAAGGTTCAGGCACGTGAATAGCTGTCTTCCAAGCACTCCTATCTAAGGCTAAGTCTTTGGATATATTCTATCCTTTCAAGTCTCATTTTATTGCCTCTACCGAAGTCAACTTCGGTCTTCCTCTGCCTCTCTTCACGTTACTATCCTGGCTTAGGATTCCACTACGCAACGGTGCCTCTGGAGATCTCCGTTGCACATGTCTAAACCATCTCAACCGGTGTTGGACAAGCTTTTCTTCAATTGGTGCTACCCCTAATCTATCACGTATATTATCGTTCCAAACTCGATCCCTTCTTGTATGACCGCAAATCCAACGCAACATACGTATTTCCGCGACACTTAGCTGTTGAACATGTCGTCTTTTCGTAGGCCAACATTCTGCACCATACAATATAGCAGGTCTAATCGTCGTCCTATAAAACTTGCATTTTAGCTTCTGTGGTACCCTTTTGTCACATAGAACACTAGACGCTTGCCGCCACTTCATCCACCCTGCTTTGATTCTATGGCTAACATCTTCATCAATATCCCCGTCCCTCTGTAGCATTGATCCTAAATATTGAAAGGTATCCTTCCTAGACACTACTTGACCTTCCAAACTAACATCTTCCTCCTCCCGAGTAGTAGTGCCGAAGTCACATCTTATATACTCAGTTTTAGTTCTACTAAGTCTAAAACCTTTGGACTCCAAAGTCTCCTCGCCATAACGCCAGCTTCGATTCACTCCAATCCGCCTTTCATCAACTAGCACTACATCGTCTGAAAAAGCATACACCAAGGGATGTCCCTTGTATGTCCCTTGTGACCTCATCCATCACTAAAGCAAACAAATAAGGGCTCAAAGTCGATCCTGGGGTTTCCCACGTAGTCCAACTAGGATTCCTACATGTAATCCTACTAGAACTAGTTACATAATCCTACTAGGATCTCTATTTGTAATGGACTCCCACCTCTCCTAGACTATATAAAGGAGGGCAGGGGTCCCTAGATCACCGAAACTCACAACCACAACAAATAGCGCAGGGTACATGTACTATCCACCCCACCCGGACGGGCGTACGCCGTGACTTTCCGGCGTTGGGATCAAGACATGCCGCGACTTTCGTCGGCTCCCGTCGACAACTCGCCAGTAACTCTAGTCGATCTTGTCAACAACTCGCCGTGTTCACACTCATCATCACCATCGTTCGAAGAAGAAAGTTTCCTACTCATCAACACCGCCTCACGTGGTTCTCCTCAACGACCATAGATAGATGTGGCACCATGTCGTAACGCAAGCAATCCTTCTTCTTCCCCAAAGCTTGCAACACGCGATAAGGATTTCCTGCAAAAGTCAACCAAGTCACCGTCAAACCAAAAGGGATTATTAATTATGGAAATAGTTTTGAGCCGCACTGGATTGACCACCAAGAGTCCAAGACCGTATATGAATACGATATCGTTTCAAATTGCTTTGAAGCCACGAGCAAGAGAAGGAAGGAAGCATGCAAGCAAGAAAGCACCACACGGCAAGCAAGTATTCTACCAAAGGAATTACATCACACGTCACCATCCATAATGACATGCACATATACTGACTCATCTTCATGCGGATTCAAGTCCAACCCGAAAACAAGTCCTACTCCTACTCGAACAAGCAATGAAGTTCGTACAAGTCCAGAGCCAATTCTATCCAAGACAAGTACCAATCAATGTTTATCAGTTACGACGTCAGTAGTTAAAAGAACTCGACTACATCAAGCGCGGAAGTAGTCCAAGCACGAAGCGAGCGATCCGTCCATGACTCGATCCGTAAACAAATTGTCTTGTTACAACTTCGATAAAATACATCACGGACATGCAAGAAGCTAACAAAGGAAGCAAGCAAGCAAAGCCAAAGGTGTTCGTGCATTGATTTATACATACGACATGCTCATACGAGAAGGTCAAGAAATACAAGCTACACGGTCAATAAAGAGAAGACCACCTACAAACAAGTCGACAAGTCACGAGCAAGCAACCAAATTTCACACGTCGAGTACTCGACATGACAATCCACTCGTCTCGTTAAACTCATCAAGAAACAACTCTGGACGAGCTGTCCGCGCGACTTCATCATCTTTTTTCGACTACATCAAGCAAGTTGTCGAAATTCTGAGGGTAGCTAAAAGCTAACACCCGACACAAAAAGCAAAATGGTGTCAACATGCAAAAGAGCATCCAATAGTGAAAAGACGCTTGAGCCCCATGAGGGTAGCTAAAAGCTAACACCAAACAAAAAGCAAAATGGTGAAAACATGCCAGAGCATCCCGTTGAGCAAAATAGCTGAAAAGACGCTTGAGCCATCCCGATGAGGGTAGCTAAAAGCTAACACCAAACAAAAACAAAATGATCAAAAACATGCTCGAGCATCCCACCCGAGAGCATAGTCGCTTTCATCGATGAGGGTAGCTAAAAGCTAACACCCGACACAAAAAGCAAAATGGTGAAAACATGCTTGAGCATCCCGACCGAGAGCAAAATAGCTGAAAACACGCTTGAGCCATGGCGATGAGGGTAGCTAAAAGCTAACACCAAACAAAAAAGCGTAATAGCTTGCAGCATCCCGAGCATACCAGAGAAACAAAATAGTGAAAAGACGCTTGAGCTCGCCGATGAGGGTAGCTAAAAGCTAACACCAAACAAAAAAGCAAAATGGTTGAAAACATGCTAGCATCCCGGCCGAGAGCAAAATAGCCGAAACACGCTTGAGCCCGCCCGATGAGGGTAGCTAAAAGCTAACACCAAACATAAAGCAAAATGGTTGAAAACATGCCCGAGCATCCCGCCCGAGCAAAATAGTCTTGA